TGTCACAAGGAATGGATCCCACATATAAACCACGTGATAACAGGAACATAATGAAATATAGTTGTCAAGTCGCCACCGATGGAGTGACTTGCATAGCCGTCAAATGGTTTGTGAACTTTCAGATTAAATGGTCGTTGGCCACTTGGGTTGACTTGCGGCCTTTGGTCTAGGATAACATTTTCGACCTTCTATGCGGGGCAAGTTGAAAAACAAACTATAGTTATTATTAGTTTCAATTTCAAAAAGATAAAAATAATAAAGTAGCTCACCATGGACCGGGTGGATTTTTGGTGTGTTTGTGCAGTTCGTTTTTGAGCCCATGCGTAGATGATTCTTGATTTGGGCGGCCTATTCGCTGGCCAATATTGGGCCGGCTGAACGATCTAGCAAGACTGGCACCGGTGGCAACCAAACACGCGGCTGGGGTTCACAGCGAGACGCTGAATTCAGATCATCAGAAGATGTTAATGCTCCACGAAGCGAGGGCAGAACCATGTGAGGGATATATAGGGTGTGTTTGGTTGCCCGCATAAGGGCAAACCAGACTCCCGGGATGCAGCTTGCTCATGTTTGGTTCCCTGCCACCCTCCCGAGCCAGGCTCCGCTCGTGCAAAAGCCCCCTCTAGGCCTGGCTCATGAGGAACGCCCAAATCGGTCGTTTTTCTTCAGCCTGGCTCGCTCCGTGCTCCCGCAAGCTCGCGCGCCTGGCGATTCCATGCGCGGGGTGATGGCGCGAAGATCCTAGGGTTACCTCCCCCGTTCCCTCCATTCACCGCCTATATATCTTCCCTCCCGCCGCCTCCCTCTCTTCTTCTTCTTGTCGCTCCCCGTCTGCGCCGCCGGTAAGCTCCACCTCCTCTTCCTCCTCCCCTCGGTGTTCTTGATGGATTCGTGGCCTCCTAATGCCTACCCTCTCTCTCGATTTGTTGTAGGTGCCGTGGATTTGCGTCCTCTCGAAGCAAGTGAGTTTTTCCCCTTCTCTTTCTCCATTTTTTCTGTGCGATTTGAAATCCTAGGTCACCATTGTTTGTTGATCTCGTTGCAGGCACACCAGATCTGATTTCTTGGCTATTATTGCGGTATGGATCCTTGTTCTTAGGTCTCATTTTTTTTCTTGTTTTTTTCAAGTAAAAATCCTATTTTGTGTATGCTAATCCTCTTTTCTTTGCTTGTGTGCTTGCAGATCTGAGCTCCCTCACCTGCTGCGTTGGGCTTTTGCTGGTGCTGCTGCTTGTTGACGTGGGTATTTTGTTTATCTACTCCTCTCGCCTCCCCCCTAACCTGTACCATGCGATAGTGAGTCCTGTGTTTTTGGATTTGGATGCATGTCCTACTTTGTGAGATTATGAGCAAGTATATAAAGTTGCCATTTTGTCTGAGCTATTGTCCAAGTCTGTGATGATTCCTTTTGTCCTGAGCTATTGCCTTAGTCTATGATGATGCCTTTTTTCTGAGCTATTGCCCTAGTCTGTGATGATGAGAGTCTTATTTTTAGCATGTTCTAGTATATGATGAATCATTTTTATTCATGGACAAATGCTTTTTTTCATCTGATACTACACTTATGCTGAGGCTTTGAGCATATGCAATGATGATAAATTTTCTGTGATACTACACTTATGCTGAGGCTTTGGGCATGTGCAATGATGTTTTTTCTTGACATAATACACCTGTGCTGAGGCTCTGGGCATGTGCAATGATGAATTAGGCTATGGCTGAGGAGATGATGCCTGCTGATGAGTTTGTGTTCCCTGGACTGAGCCCATGTCTGCCTTTGTGCTGAAGCAGATGTGCCAGCTCATTACCACTGGAGTGAGGACTGATAAGGGCTTCAAAGAAATACACCTGAACAAGGTGGCAAAGGTCCTGCAAGAGTTCTGTGGTCATGAAGTTAGTGGTACCCAGGTGTACAACCACCTGAGGAAGTGGAGGCAGAGGTGGGTGAAACTGTCCAAGCTGAGGGACCTTAGTGGAGCTCAGTGGGATGAGGACAACTATATGATTGTTCTTGAGGAGGAACACTACAATGGTCATACCAAGGTGAGCAAGAACATGTGATACTACAACTTGATTTGTGAGATGACTCTTTGAAACATTTTGTCATTATGGCTAACAAGGGACAGTTCATTATGCCTGTGATGCTTTATGACTGAGCTGAGCACTTATCCATTGCCTGTGATGTTTTTGGATTGATCTGAGCACATATTCATTACCTGTGATGTTTTTTGATTGATCTGAGCACATGCCCATTGCCTGTGATGTTATTTTGATTAATCTGAGCACATGTCCATTGCCTGTGATGTTTTTTTGATTGATCTGAGAACATGTACAGCTATGGCTTGGTATGTTGTTCATGTTGGGAAGGAGCCTGGGGTCTACTCCAGCTGGGCCGAAGCACATGCTTAAGTAGATGGTTTCAAGGAAAACTGCTACAAAAAATACAAAACAAGAAATGAAGCTTTGCTAGCTTTCTATGGTGATCAACCTGAAAATCCACCTCTCCTCCAACCTGTCAGTGCACCTCTACTAGAAAATGATGGAAATGGCAACTTTCGCTTGTGCCACAGTTCATTTATACTAATAGGAGTAGTTATTGTCTTGCTAGTAGGTTTTTTCATTTGGAAATTGATGTAATATCTGATGTCAACTAGTGGGTGGTAATGTTACCACTACATGCAAGAGGTGACTACAACTTGTTGTATGCAGCCAACCAAACAATGATCCATGCATGGGCTTTTTAAATCTGCAAACACATATATACAACCAAGAGAGAATTCCCTGGTTGCCATCAAAACTTATAACGATTCCTTAGTTGCCATTAAAAATTATAGCATTCCTTAACTGCCATCGATTTGTAGTTTTTGATTCCTTCGTTGCCATTACCGTTACGTATGTGAGTTTTGTTCCCTTAACTGCCATCTATTTAGATAATTTCCTCCTTAATTGCCACTGAGCGGACGGAATCAGGGAACGGCGTGAGCCGTGTTCGACGCTCGACGTAGTCCGCTGCTACCACGCTCTTGTCCATCCTCTGTGCCGTCCCATCTCCCGTGCGAGCGCTTAGGTGCGCCTGTGACAAGTGCCAGGGAAAGGGAGGGATCCGTCTCTATTACAACAGCGCCATCTTGGGCGCCGTCAGCCTGGTGTCGGCGTGTCGCAGAGCCTCTCACCGTCTGGCACCGCGTCACCTCCTCCACCGGCAGCGAGTCAAGCAGCCCTCCGCTCTGGGGAGCTCCTGGAACCACGCCTGCAAGTACGCGTATGTACATCAGCATTCAGCACATCAGATGCAACAATGCAACGGTTGTACGTACGTGCACACGGTCTACATACCTTGATGAGGCCTGCAAGCCGCAAGGCAGTGCTCGTCGATGCCGTGCACTGGTATGTGCTCTGTAGGCTGCAGTAGAGCAGCAGTATACCGCCCTGCCAGCCTGCTTGCCTCCCGCAGCGGAGCAGCCGCGCGCGATGTGCGCTGCCGTGCTGGCCGCCTGCCGTTGAGTGGAACGTCACTTGCGCCACATGCCACACGTCCGTTGGCCACCCGATCTCCATTATCTCGCCGCCGTCGTCACCACGCGGACAAGAGCGCGGCGGCAGCGGACGACGTCGAGCGTGGAACGCGGTTCCGTCCGCTCAGTGGCAATTAAGGAGGCAAATTATCTAAATAGATGGCAGTTAAGGGAACAAAACTCACATACGTAACGGTAATGGCAACGAAGGAATCAAAAACTACAAATCGATGGCAGTTAAGGAATGCTATAATTTTTAATGGCAACTAAGGAATCGTTATAAGTTTTGATGGCAACCAGGGAATTCTCTCTACAACCAAACACTGTCTCAGCCTAGCTTGGTTTCACAGATGCATGCAACCAAACAACCCTTGTTGCATGCATCAGCTGGCCTCAATGCAAAACAGGCTGCAGTGGCTTACGGTTAATGATTTGGGAAAAGGTACCAAACATGCCCATAGAGTACAGACCTGCAGTCTTTCGGTGTTTCGAGTGAGATCTGAGGCCCTTTGATTTGATGTGTGAGTCCGGGCAAATAATAATAAGCATCAGCTAGATATTTTAAGGTCCTGATTGGTTTCTGCGGTGCCTACTAAAATTCCTGTCACATCAAATGTTTGATACATGCATGAAGTATTAAATATAGACTAATTACGAAGCTAATTGCACGACTTGCGATTAATTTGCGAGACAAATCTTTTAAACCTAATTAGTTAATGATTTGACAACATGGTGCTACAGTAAACATGTGCTAATGATAGATTAATTAGGTTTAAAAATTCGTCTCGTAAATTAGCCTCCATCTATATAATTGGTTTTATAATTAATCTATATTTAATACTATTAATATCTAAACATTCGATGTGATATGAATTTTAGAAACGACTAAAGAACCAGACACCCCTAATCTCAAACCGCAGTATGTATGCATTTGTCGTTTATAACTTATATAAAGCCCACCAACATCGACTTCAGAGAGTCGTTTGCATGTACATTTCATCCAATGGACACAGGAAGGGAGAGTTGTTTGAGAGACGACTGAGCACACGAGTGTTCGTGGGAACCAGCCAGGCACCAACTGATGAGCAGATAAACTTGAGTTGGTATGACTTTTGGCTGTGGCTTTTGTCTTCAAAACTAAAAGCTAAATTAAAAGGTCCAAAATCCATATATGTTTTTATTTAAAAGTAGTTTTTAGTATAGTACAAATTCAAAAACATCTCCACGCTGCTTTTACTAGTTTTTAAGATAAAAAATTACCAACGCACCACTGATTATATAGATAACGGTTCATTCTTTTCCTCTTGTATCGCTTCGCGACTGTTCCCGTGCGAGAAAACGCCATTGCCGCGGTCTCCGACGGTGCTCTTCCTCGGCCGGCTGCCACGCGCCAGGCTGGCGAGCCCCAGGCCACCGCGGATCTCCATCTCCGACCTCCGCGGAGCTCCATAGCCGGCCGCCCCTTTCCAGTGAAGCCGCGGCGACTGTCTAAGTCAGATCCGAGCAGGGTGCCCCTCTTCCGGCAACCCTGTGGCCACTCTCTTTCTCCCTGGCCGTACTGAACACGCGGATGCGGGGCGCCGTCGCGGGCCTGCAGCGGGCGCACCTGCGCGCCGTGGTCGCATACGCGAACCACTTTGCGGCGTACGGCACGATGCTCCGCCACCGCGCATCGTGGCTGCGCCGGGGCGGGTTAAGGGCAGCAGAGGTCCCTCCGCCGCGTGAGCTCCTCCACTTCCAGCCGCTGCTCCCCCATCCCATTCCAGTCGCTGCCTTCCTCCTCGAGCTCCATCCCGGCGCGAGCCCAATCCCAACAAAGGCGGCGACGGCGCGAGCTCCATTCAGCGGCGGTGCAAGCTCCATCCCGCCGCGGCGCGAGCCCAGCCGCATCCCGAACCGAGCTTCATCCCAGGAGCGGCGACGGGAGCTCCATCCCCGGCCGGCATCCACTGGTGATGAGGGGAGGAAGAATGTCCATGACGTGTGGGGTCCGCTCGTAGGTGAGAGAAGTTTTTCCAAAAGCCACCAGTGTTTAATCAAACAGGCTTTCAATTATCCCACCAAAAACAGCTTTGGTAAAAGACACGGTGCACAGCTGTTTTTTCAAAAGCCACGGCAAACGGGGGCTCTCCTGATCACTCCACTTCCGCTTCCTCCGATCCGGCCGGCAATCCGCGAGCAGCCCATGTGCCACCGCCGAGCTAAAGCTAGCACTAGCAGATCGAGTGCCGTCCGGCGCGGTGTGGACGCAAGCTCACGAGCTCACTCACATGCGCTGCGTGCTCGCATCGCACGGGCGTTGGCATGCGTACGTGAATCCCATTCCCACAGGTAGCCACTGGGCGGGCCACCCACGCTGGATCGATCACACACGGCCGTTGTCGTGCTCGTCTCGCCACCCCAAGACCCGCCCCCTGCCTGGACCATGCGTGCACGGGCACGGACATACATGAACACTCCATCACTCACTACACTAGTCACTCGCTCTCGTGCCCATACCCCCGCCGCCTGCGCTGTCCCCGTCGCCACCCACTTACCACGTTCACGCACACCGTGTCACTCAGTACACTGCTGACTGCATATATGCATGGATAAATAGCCGAGCCACACACGCATCTGCAACTGCAAGCAAAGGTGCCATGGCGCAACCAAGAACAGCGCTCCTCTTCCTCGCCCTCGCCTCCGTCGCCGCCGTGGCCGCCGCGGCAACGACAAAGGTAGAGGCGCCGGCACTAGCGCGTGCTGCGGCGACGACGAGGGCAACGACGGGTTGCCGGCGCGGCGACCTGGTGGTGCATCAGCACGCGACGGGGCGCGTGGTGAAGGGCAAGCCCGAGTACGCGGTGGAGGTGCGGAACGCATGCCGCTGCGCGCAGTCCCGCGTGCTGCTGCGCTGCTACGGGCTCAGCAGCGTGGAGGCCGTGGACCCGCGCGCCATCCGCGCCGTCGACGGCGAGCGCTGCCTGCTCCGCGGCGGCCGGGCGCTGCCGCCGCGCGGGGGCGCCGTGAGGTTCACCTACGCCTGGATGACGCCGCAGGACTTCCCGCTCGTCAGCGCGCACCCGCACTGCTAGTAGCCTAGTACCTTAATTAGCTACTGGGGGTCCTTGTTTGCTGTTCCTAATTACCACAGTTTCTACGTACACTGATGATTCATTCAGCAAGGAAGATTGTTGGCCTGATTTTTTCGTTTCGATTGAGTTGCAAGTGTGATTAATTGAACCAGCTTGATTAGTAAACCAGCTTGATTAGCTTGGATGGATACGTGCATTCTGTGTTAGGCAGGCTTGGTGTGATTTACAGTAGTAGCTAGCTACTCCGTTGCTGGGTTGTTGCTTTTCCACAATTCCACTGTCCCTCTGGGACTGGGTGATGAATCATGAATCTGCAAGAGGAAGAAGAGGGTGATGGAATACGTGGAGGTGGAGTCACGGGACGGGAGCGAGCAACGGCAGCATGGGCATGGCCTATCTACGCAGGCAGCCAGCAGGAGACTTTTGTATGCGTGCCATTATAAAAAATCGCAGTCTCCTGGGTGTCTCTGAAAATATTCAGCGGTCTTTAGCGTCACTACTTTAACTTTTTCGTGTCCTCTATGCCACTTTCGTCAATTTAGACTATAACGCCGTAAAACTGCAGGGGTTAAAAGACAAAAATACCCTTAAATCTAAATATGTTATTATTTTTTTTGAGCATCTTAACGACTTCAAATGAAAAAACTCAAAACTAGAAAGTTATAGATCTCATCGAGATCTATAATTTTCATATAAAATATATTTTCATTTAATTCCGTAAGAAAATATGATTTGATATGATTAATATATCTTAGAAAAATCATCATTTTTTTGCGAAATTAAATGAAAATAAATTTTATATGAAAATTATAGATCTCGACGAGATCTACAACTTTCTAGTTTTAAGTTTTTTCATTTGAAGTCGTTAAGATGCTCAAAAAAATTAATAACATATTTAGACTTAAGAGTATTTTCGTCTTTTCACACCTGCAGTTTGACGGCGTTAGAGTCTAAACTGACGGAAGTGGCATAGATGACACGAAAAAGTTGAAGTAGTGACGCTGAAGACCGTTGAATTTATCCAAAGATACACAGAAAATTACGATATTTTATAATGACACACAGAAAAAAGTCTCAGCCAGCAGCCAGCAGCCAGCAGCCAGCAGGAAGGCGACGAGCCGACGACATGCCGCGACGCGCGTCACCTTTCATCACGTGCCCTGTCCGCATCCTTGGTCCTCCCCATCCCCAGCCTTTTTGTGAACTCCATCTACTTTATTTCTGCCGTTCTGCCGGGTGCCTGCCAGTGCCATATGGATATCTCCTTCGTGGGCCTGTAGGCCCGGCTATGCAGGCTGAGGCCCGTGCTGGACCTGGGCCAGATGGTACGAAGATGAACACTAAATATGCGGACTAGTTTGGACCCAAATATGTGTAATAGGATTGTCAACTGATCGACATTCCACGACGTTTTTCCCCTAAAAACATAGCGCAAACTCTAAGATAGCGTTTAGTTGAGAGATAAGGTCCACTAAAAAAAAGTTGAGAGATAAGGTGGAGTGCAATGGTCTTGCCTCTTATAGACGAGATGACTCTATTTTCTGTTTAGTTAAGGAGGCATGGGACTAGCTCATTTTTTTTTCTGCCAGAGACATCCAAAGTAGGATCAACAATGAGTTAGGCACGTGGGACAAAGGACACTCCCGGCATAGGATCATCAACGAGTTAGGCAAAGCGATAGGCCAATCATTCCTACCGGCGTCATGGTGCCATTGCAGGAAGAAGCCTAGAACCACCGAATTAGGGATTATGGTTTAGCTTTCCACTGGTGGGTCTAGATGAGAGATTCATCTTGCATCCATTGTCATGCGTGCTGGCATCGAACAGATGCAGATTGGTGGCCGTCGAGAAGAGGAGGGTCCAAGGTGGTTAGCAACTCCTAGAGACGGCTACATTAGTAGCAGCTTTTGGGTTCAGCCTTATCAAAGAGTGAGGCCAAGGTAACTAGGAGAGACTCATTGAGTTTAGCAGCGGCCTCAGCAAGGTCCCATTGCCAGACCTTGGTATCACTTTTGTTGTTGCCAATGCATCTCCAAACACCTTTAGTGGGGAGATGCGAGGTTCGAGTAGTGGACCTTGATAGGGATTTGAAGGAATTTTTCTTTCAACAATTGCTTCCACAATCAAATATTTCTTGTTTTGTTTCTTAGGGGGCGTGCGAGCACACCCATAGTTATTATCCTCCGAGGCTCCAAGTTATTTGTAGAATCGATTAGAGTCTAACTTCGTTGTCTTCTTGCCCCCAAACGTAGCCATGGGGCTTATGTTGTAATTCGCAGGCCTCACAAGGCTTATGTTTTGCCTCATGGGGTGCATAAGTCTACGAGGTCTTCATATTGCAGCTCGGGTCATCCACTAGGTATTCTGACCATGGTTTGGCAAAATTTGTTGGGTTGGTTTTGATGGGTTTGGTCCCTAAGCCTAGGGTGATTTTCCAAAACTATCGGTGGATTTTATCCTCGCTATTAATCAGGTGGGAGAAACCCCTAAGTTGTTTTTGCCCCTACAGAAACGATAAAATGCTCCGAGGGGAGGAAGATCCAAATTTCATTTACCTTGATGGCCGAATGCCACACTTCCGAAGTTGTTAACTGACAAATCCGAATGGAACTTGGGACCTTTCCAAGGGGTTCACGGCCATGGTCCCACATGTGGCATTCCATAGATCCCGACCTGCTACTTGATAGTTCCCAACTCTTTGGATTGACTTGGGGGACGACTGCTCTCCCTCGGCGGGGAAACCTCGAGCAGTCATGGGGTGAGGACTCAAATGTGGATTGTGGTGATCGGATCGCTTGTGCATCCATCAATTGGCTAGTAGTAGGCCCACCATGGCCCAACCCTCTCTGAGGTTTTGTAGTAGTGTGAAGTGCACATGCTCTTAGCTCTATCAGTGGACGATGCGTTCCCGTGAATGCCCATCATATTGGACTCATCAAATGATCTGTGTATATTACCTGCTTTGATTCGAATCCAACAAAAGGAAATACATTAGGATATGGTAGAGACATTATTCATCTCGATCTGATCCACTTTTATCCCTAGGAGCACTTCGGGCAACTCTAGCTTCTTGCTACATAGTTACAGGGAGAAGGGGCTAGTGAAGAAACAAATGTTGTGGCAGCTAGTCTGCCACGTACCTCTCTACACCAACATTTTATTTTTCAATGAACAACAATAGAATTGTCAAAATTCAGGTGTCGAATGTGAGAGGCATCAATTCTCAAGACAAATGGGATGCCACAGATAAAAAATTACAGAGAGTGCTTGTCAAATTCTTTGCTTGCAGGAAACAGAGAGAATTGTCTTTAATAGTCTATACTTGAAAAAGTTCTACCCAAGATACATGCATTGTTTTGCCTTCTCTCCATCAAATGGAGCTTCTAGTAGCTTGATCACAATTTGGAACAACAACATTTTTACTAGCACTATAATCCAAGTCAATGCTTATGGTATAACTATCAAGTTACAACAAAAAGTTGATGGGAAATTTTTTTCATCTTACAAACATTTATGGTCTAGCCTCATCACCTAAAAATCGGCCTTCATCTGCTAGCTGATCAACTTGGACTACTTTGAATTTGAGGACTAGATATTAGACAAAGATTTTAACCTCATTGGATCAGTAGAAAACATAAATAAATCTCGAGGAGATATCTCTGAAATGCCATTGTTTAACAATCTTATTTTAGATCTTGACCTAGCGGATTTACCTTTCAATGGCAGAAATTTTACGTGGAGCAACATGCAAGTGGATCCCTTACTTGTCAAGCTTGATTGGGTCTTCACATCGCTACTTAGGGGCACTCCTACCCTACAACTTCAGCTCAGACCCTCTCTAGGCCCATCTCTGATCATACCCCTTTTTTCTCTTTTGGAACAAATATTCCCAAAACTCTAACTTCAGGTTCGAAAACTATTGGGTTGAGAATGCCGATTTCTTGAAAAGTTGTAGAACTTCATTGGAATAGCAGTGCTTATTTTGCCAAGTTAGCCAGAACCCTTTTAGCCAAATTCAAGCAACTTAGAGCTGGTTGAAGAGCTTGGAGTAAAAGTCTCTCAAGCCTTAGTAAAATGGTCCATAACAGTAATTGGGTCCTGCTTCTTTTGGTTGGACTAGAAGATCAGAGGCCTTTATCCATCCTAGAATGCAACTTCAGAAGCCTAGTGAAGTCACATCTTTCAAATTTGCTAGAAGCCAAGAGGAAAAATTGGAAATACAAAAATACAATTAGATGGGTCAATCTTGGAGATGAAAACACTAGTTTCTTTCAGGCTATGGCCACTCATAGTCACAAAAGAAATCTCATTTCGAGTCTTACTATTTCTGGAGGAACTTTGATTACTAATCATCGATAGAAAGCAAATATTCTTTGGGGCTCCTTCAAAAGTAGACTAGGTATCAGTGACTTCTCTGACATGGTCTACAACCTAACATACCCCCTACAAGGCCATGATGTTGAGCACCTTGAGGAAGATTTCAGCATAGAAGATAATCATAATGTGATCAAAGCTCTACCAAACTGTCATGCTCCTGGACCAGATGGATTCAATGGTTTGTTCATTAAAAAAATGCTCACATATCATCAAAGATGACTTCTTCAGGTTGTTTTATGATTTTTAGCCCTCCTTTGGACATCAGCGGTATTAACTCCTCTCACATTGCTTTGATCCCTAAAACTCAAAACTTGTAGCTATGGATGATTACATGCCCTTCAATTTATTCTCTTAGGTGCATCACCAAACTGCTTTCAAATAGATTGCAGTTAGTCATTAAAGATTTGGTTCATATCAACCAATATGGTTTCATCAAAAGAAGAAACATTCAAGACTGCCTAGCTTGGGCCTTTCAATTTCTCCACCTATGCCATCACTATAAGAAGAGTATTATGTTCCTGAAACTTGATTTTGAAAAGGCTTTTGATAAAGTTGAACATCAAGCCATTTTGGAGGTTCTAAAACATAAAGGCTTCCCTAACAGATCGATTAACTGGGTGACG